CATTGACATTGACCCTCAGCGTCACATCAAAGGTGGCATTGCTGGGCGGCTCCGTCAGCACTCTAATTGACACTGTCTGCAGTGAGCTCTTAAAAGAGGAAGGAAACAGAAAGGAAAAGTATCCCGGTTTTCGAGTGAAGCTCACCGACACCTTGGTTTCCAGAATGCGGCCCAGAGAAAGCGGGGTACAGTTGGCGGAGTAGGGCGCCAGCTGCTCGTTGAGATGCTCGAGAATGAACTCGCCGAGGAGGTGTCTGGAGTGGGCGTCAGTGAGGGGGACAAAGCGTCGACAGAGACAGTACTCCTCGGGAATGCCCGCCTCCTCGCAGGTCCGGTTCAGTGGCAGTTCGGTGAAGAGGGAGTGGCCAAAGGTGTGATCCAGAAAAAATTTATCAGCTGATAAAGGAAGTGGTGATGGCTTTCCATGGAGAATGTGCAGCAGCGTCGAGTGGACATCAAACTGACTCGCCAGACGGCGACTGTTAGTTCGAAGATTTTTTCGAATCTGCCCAGCATCCAGTCCATCACCGAGAGTGAGCCCTTCTGGAATGTACCAGTACATGAAAGGCAGTCGGGACTCGTGGTAGCCGGATTCCGTCTTGGAGATTGGCCCAAAGCGAAATCCGTGGTCAGAGTAGAAGAGGATGGCGGTGTTTTGCTGAAGGTTAGCAGCGAAAATTTTCTCAAGAAATCTCCTAACGGGTTCATCGGCGTAGGCGGCATTATTCGGCTCCTCGTGCACCACCGTGCTCATGTGAATGAAGGTGAGGTGGGGCTGGCGACGTTCTCTAAAGGCGAGCAGCTGGTCGTACACAAAGTCGTAATAAAACTGGAAAAACATTTTTAAAATTTATTGAATCGTAGCAAATTTTTCTCATTTCCCTACCTCCATCTCCAGACGACCTTTATAGCAGAAATCATTTTCCAGCTGATCCCAGACCACCATGCTTACCGGTCGTATCAGGTACTCGAGTGGCTGCTGCTCGCCAAAGCCGTTCCTACCGTGGAATGTCCACAGACTGAAAATAATTAAAAATTAATTTCATTAAACTTTTTAACAAAAATGTTTCCTGTCTCCTCTCACCCTGCTGTAGGCATGTCCTCGACGAAGGTAGTCATGTAGCCCCTGGCGGAGAACTGCTTAAAGACTAGCGGAAGTGCATCGAGCTTCCGACTGGGCGAGGGAATCAACTCCTCGACGGCTTTCCTGTTCAGACCGGTGAACATGGCTATCAGATTGGGAAAGGTGTTGTCGCCCACCTTGTGCAGGCCGTACAGTGGGCCCTCAAAGCGCTTTTTGGTAATAAACTCTTGAGTGGAGGTAAAGTGACGAAGAAATTGAAGGCGGCTGATGGAGTCAACGCCAATGGCGAGGATGTTCGGCTGAGAGGAAGGTGATGGGGGTGACGATGTTGAGAATTCATTTCTCCAGATAGGCTTTTTAGAGGGAATAAGTGGAATGACCTTCGTCTGACCTCCACAGTGAACTTCCACAGCATCGGCGGTGGGAAAGTCCACCAGCAGGCGTTTACCAAAATAAATTTTACGGCCATATCGAAAGCCCTCATTACTCGGGTCCCGCTCCACCTCGGTGGCCTGGCAGCCCGCCTGAGGAACGGAAACGCCGGTGTAGTTCACCCGTCTAATTTGGGCGGAAATCGGGTTCTCAGGCGGACAGTAGTACTCTCGGTTTGAGGGCGGGCTGTAGAATGGCCGGGTTTGCTCGTCAAAGAGCGGAATAGCTCGGAGAATGCACTGGGGCGTGTAGAGGAGGTACTTCCGGTGAAGTAAGGTGCTGTTGAGGTGTTGCTGGTCAGTTGAGAGGAGATCATCGAGGTCGTCGTACAGTGACGAGTTTGGGCTGCCGTACAAAAACAGGACAACTAAAGTAGCGACCGCCAGTAGCAGACAAATAAGAGCAACCAAAGTTTTCCAGAGATGATTTTGTTGAATCATAAGCTGACAAAAAAGGCGGCGAAAGCGGTTTCGGCAGAAGCAACGCCTCAACGGAGAATATCTGATCGACATTTGGTAAGAAAAAAACACAATATAAAAACGGTTTTATTTTTTTTTGAGTCTGCCCTTAAAATTATCTCTAAACTATAATCGACATTGGCAAAAAACCAAGTATTTTTATTAGTGTAGAAGCTCGAGTGATGATTAGAAACAGGAGGAAAAATTGCTAAACAAAAATATTAGTAGTATTAATAACAATTCCTTACTGCGGAATGTGCAAATAAAAAAAAGTTGAGAAAAAAAGTCGCTCTGCTACTGGTGATAAGATAAATTATTGCTATCATCATCATTTTTTTATAGCTTATGGTAAAAAGAAGAGGACTGCTGCACAAGCACCACCACCACCAACACCACCAGCAACGTAACTTTTTCAGCCGGTGAGCAGTGTACCGAACGAGCAGTGGTAAGTATCGCCAAAAGGTGATCAATTTGAAATGAGAAGTACAGCAGTGAGTAAGTGCAAACTGGCGTTTCCATAGTGATGTAGCCTCCTTATCTAGAGCGCAGCATTACTTTCACTGCTGATAATTTAGGCACTTATTGATGATGATTGCTATACTGCTCTCTCTCTCTCTCTCTCTGCACCATATACGACTCAGCTGACTTTAAAATCCTCCACAGACACTTACAAAAAGGCACGCATTGTTTTTAGCGCACAAAGGTTGTGCCTCCAGCAGCATTTGCTGCTGCTGATTAGCCAGAAAAGAAGTTGTCTATTGTTCTCAACAGGTAAATGTGAAAGTTGGATTTAGGCCGATTAGGAAGGAAAACTACTAGTTTGCAGTAGTGGATTAATCTTTGCCTTTATCTTTAAATAAATAACAATAAAAGATACTTTTCCGAGAAACCCCCCAAATATTGTATTACTTGTCAGCATTTTTTTTATGTGAGCTTTTTTTACTGCTGCTGCTGCTGCTGCAGCTGGCGATAAAGTCGGCAAAGCAGGCGTTGTCAAGTTGTCAAAACTGACGTACCCAGACAAAAAAAAGTGAAACACGAATGTTTTTCTTTTGCACTGCAAAGTAAAGCTTCAAATACTTAAGACAAAATGCAAAATTAAAATATTCGCTGTTTGCACTTGATTTTGCAATTTTTGCTTTACAAAAAAGAGATTTTGCAAGTTTTTTTTGAGCAAAAATAATATAATTTTATACAAGATTTTTACAGTAGCAAAAGCTTTCTACGGGCGTGCCCCGAACACAGGCGCTCTGGTCGCCGTAACGGTCCAGTCGAATGAGACTGCTCAGCCTTTGAATGGACGCCCGGTCCTCGATGATGGTGGCAGCGTCCAGTGAGCCCTTACCATTCAATTCATTGACATTGACCCGCAGCGTCACATCAAAGGTGGCATTGCTGGGCGGCGCAGTCAGCACTTTCATTGACACCGTCTGCAGTGAGCTCTTAAAAGAGGAAGAAGGAAACAGAAAGGAAAAGTATCCCGGTTTTCGAGTGAAGCTCACCGACACTTTGGCTTTCAAAATTTGTCCCAGAGAAAGCGGAGTACAGTTGGCGGAGTAGGGCGCCAGCTGCTCGTTGAGATGCTCGAGAATGAACTCGCCGAGGAGGTGTCTGGAGTGGGCGTCAGTGAGGGGGACAAAGCGTCGACAGAGACAGTACTCCTCGGGAATGCCCGCCTCCTCGCAGGTCCGGTTCAGTGGCAGTTCGGTGAAGAGGGAGTGGCCAAAGGTGTGAGCGAGAAAGAACTTATCAGCTGATAAAGGAGGAGGTGATAGGGGCTTTCCAAAGAGAATGTGCAGGAACGTAGCATGAACGTCAAACTGACTCGCCAGACGGCGACTGTTGAGCTGAAGGTTTGCCC